AAACAACAACTTTATTTTATGATAATAAAATTATTGTTTATTGGATTCAATTTTCCGTTGGAATAATTAATTTCTTTATCAAATTTTATTACAATGTTAATAAATAAAAACAATTTCTTTGATATTATATTGTTACGTCTCCGTGTGTTAATTAATTTTCCGTAACTTCGTACCGACGAAACTTACGCGACACAAGCCTTTACTTAATAAAACTGGTTTATTCTTTCCGAATATAACTTAACCGATACACTCAACAATAGCAACGAACGTCAATAATACTCCGACCGCAGATCAATTACTCACTATCTACCTACCCACCTCACATTCCCCTCCTTTATATATACCAGCCCACCCTACATCGAGCAATTACTAGAGCATTCCCGAAAGAACAAGATAATTCTAGAAACGTTGCGTCACGTGGTCATGTGACTCGCTGACGCAACAATATTTTTTTTTAGTTTTTACGCATTATTGAATTTATTTCATGTAAATATGGAAAAACTCTCAGAATGAGGACTATTATAATTGGCGATGTTCTAAATCCGCGTTACATTCTGTCCTTAATATAACGTAGGATCGCTGATAAAACTATTCTATTAACTCAAGGTGATATTAACCAATAAAAAATACCACACACCCACCATATTTTTCATTATTAACCTGTAACAAATTCAACTATAATACTCAGGTTACATATAAGTACAGTTTTATTACGTGACGTAAAATTATGGACAAAAATTTCTTAAATAACATATTGACTATAAGGTTTCAGAAACATAAGCAAAACCTTTGCTAAATTATTAAGTAAATAGGTGAATTTGTATCATATCTGGTAGCGATAAGATTCCCCAGGAAAATCTCTTACTTTCAACACCAAATATCTCTGGTAGATCCAGTCAATTTTGATATTTTATGTTTGTTTTCCGACCAAATATTCGTGAAATCAAAACTTCTGGTTTTCCATACTTCAAATGCCACTTCTTTAATTTTCTTTACATCGTATCCACAAGTTTAATTTTCAATTGCTCAACTGGGCTATAACTATAACATTAAAACCTAAAACACACAATTAGAGATACGTCTTTACACGTAATTTTCGAATGAAAATTAATATTTTAAGAATTTGTGCATTGCATGCAAAAGACCAAATGGAACACGCACACAAATCCCCTCTCTCAGATCTTCCATTTATGTGTTTATCTACCTATGTTTTCATACATTTTATAAGATAATATCTTACATATCGTTACACACACACATGCTACACTAAATTAATCAATTTTACACACAAATATAAGCGTTCTATCGAAACTGCTTTTCATATGTGAAACATGACTCCGAAATCAAGACCACTTTTCTTGAATACATGCTGAACGATCTGGAAAGAAATAATTTGTTTCAGATTCAAAGACATATGCAGGAATAAAGCGCAAATACCTACGTACAGTAATTCATTACGACTTTAGAAAACTACGCACAGAAAATTCGATTGATCTAAGATGTTCTTAAATTTTCACTTGAATTAATTTAAACGAATTTGCCTGTGAATGTGTTGAAGAGATAGGTTAGGTGTTATAAATTAATTTGAGTTTCCTTAAATAATCACCAGAGAGCGTTTAATCCCACACATAAAACTATCTCTAGCAAGACCTGTGTTTACTTATTGAAAATGATTTTAGCTGTAGAGGAGAGAAGAAAAACCTGAACTGAATAGATTTTTTTAGACTATGTTCCTTAAAACTTAAATAGTAATGGCTAAATAGCAGAAAATAAAAGAGAAGGATATATCATAGTATAAGACGTTTCTAAGCAGCAATGACTAAAATATTTTTATTAAATAATCTCAGCTCGGAAAGACAACCTCTGCACACATCTTTTAAAAGCAAGACTGCCTGATTTATAAAACTTTTAGAAAAGACAAGACTACCAATGTGCACTCGCATGTTTCTGTTTTATTTTTTACGTATTTTATACATTTTCAAAAATGTTCACATCAAAATAATCCATCGGAGTACGTAGTAGGTTTTTCTTTTTCAATATGAATCATTCGTATTCAACATTAATTCACGTGTCTTCTACTGGCCAGCAGATGAAATTATATACACATAGTTGAATTTTTGCTTGCTGTATAAGCACGAAGAATTTAAATTTCTATTATTTTATACTTTATATTCAGACGAATAGAATTTTTGTGGATATTCTATGTTGGAAAAAGGAGAATGAGTTCAGAATTAAAGATGTGTTTCAACTTTACTGGAAACCTGACTCGGAACCGCTGTCTTTATTTGATATAACTTAACCCTAAAACTGATTTGTAAACACAAGTCTTCCAAACGATTTATACACCAAATGTCTTGTGGGTCCTCGAACTTGTCAAGTACAGGATCTCTAATAACATATACAAAATTGAACAAAAGTTCCATCAATATTGCAATTAGTTCTACTAATTAATACTAGACTTTCCTACGTACAATATGAGTGATTTCACAAAATTTGTAAATAAGAGATGTAACTGGTAGTGAACGATAAAAAATAAGTCGATAATTTGAAAGTTGAAGATGAAATACTTCGATACGTGAGTTTCTAGCGACGCCGAACTTTAATAATCTGTACATTTTTACAATGGAACATCAAGGTTTATTTGATTTACATTTTTTTTTCGACAACGCCCACGTGTTGCAGAAATGCCAATTTGTTTTAATATAAACTATAAAGCTGTAAAATTCCAAGTATTTTCCTTGGGATAGTAGCTACTTGTTTTTACTTTACTGATATTCACAAGCGTGTGCAATTTCTTAAATGTTCTGGTAAGCCTAAATCGTTATAATACTAATTATAATTCGCATGGTGAATAAACACTAATTTATAATTTCACTATACTGTATGGTTTGGTTAATACTTAATTACTAATTTTTTAACTGGGGCTGTATTTCATCATATAAATCTTCAAACACTTCCACTGAATTCAATTAAGGAAATGGTTGAACTTTATTATTTTCCACCTACACTTTATAGTGCAAAACTGTGTTATGTGAACACAAGATCCTTCAAAATTAAGAGCATTGAATTTATTAATTATTAGTAATTTAAGAAAAATTATAAATATTTGGTAAAACTTAGTGACATTTTTTTTCTTTCTTTCTCAGAGAAAGGCGCAGTGGAATATCTGACCAGCGCCTGGCTGAAATAGAGACATTAATCGCTATGTACAAATTGAACAGAAACAGAGACAAGGAGGTAACAGGTTCCGTCGCTTTTGGAGCTTTTGACCCGACGATACTGTAAGTTTCCTTCTCGTTTTTCGTATTTAAGTTCAGTAATAATGCACATAATAAACCTTAAACTAAAATAATATTATCTAGTTTTCGAGAACGGCTTTTGTTAACGGTCCAGATGCACTGTTCTCTACAAACAATCCAGTTGTGTAATTATGGGGGAGGGGGAGACAGTCGCTCTCCTTGGAGAGTAATGGTTAAAAACATTCGGAAATATAAAGACCTTAATGAAGTGAAATATTGTTGCTATGACTGTCGTTTAAAGAAATTTGGTGGAAAATTTCAAATGTACCCCCCCCCCTCTGGAAAAATTTCTAGCTACGCTACTGAAAAACTCTTACTCCGGTTACACTTATAATCCATTATATTTCATAGGGTATTAATATTTGACAGTTCTAGGAATTGTGTAATAAAGTTTAATTTTTGTCCACTTAATGTATCATTTTTAGCGCTTATTGAGCATTATAAATATATACATATATCCGTATTCCGGCAAAGACTTCAAATAGCTTCCATTTCAACATCTCGTTCAAGTTATTAATTCTATCTTTAGAGCCACAACATTGTTTTAAGTTTAACCATTGAAGACAGGATATCATGCTTAAATATCATACATCGTTTGAGGAACTTACCATCAAAAAGAGGAATATTTAACACAGATGGCGCTAAAAAACAAAACAAATTATCTATTTTATGGAGGAGGGGAGGGGAGACAGTCGCCCTCCTTGGAGAGTTATGGTTAAAAACATTCGGAAATATAAAGACCTTAATAAAATGAAATGTTGTTGCTATGACTGTCATTTAAAGAAATTTGGTGGAAAATTTCAAATGTACCCCCCCTCTGGAAAAATTTCTAGCTACGCTACTGAAAAACTCTTACTCCGGAATGAAAGACAATACAATTTGTTTCCATGTAATAAAACTTCCATAGAAACATTTCCATTGTGTCTGAATATTTCTTTATTTTAAGAAGACAAAATAAAAAAAGATTTGTGTTTTAAGTTAGGTCTTCAGCCCAGTATGTAAATCAGTACTATAAACTGTTTATACTAAAAGTTACTCAATTAAATGAAAAGCTTATTTTATATATTCTAACTTTAGAGGAAAAAAGAAGAGGTCGTATAGTGTGTCTGCTGTCGAAAACAAATATGGTGGTCCTCTTCGAGCCGACAACACAAAGAATGAAGAGGACTCTGAGACGTCCTCGACTGCTGAGCTTTCAAGTTTGACCAGTAAAGATGTCCCTGACCACTCTAAGATGGACATTCTTCATCTGCGGAAGATCCTGGCCAAGCTACGAACTATAAACGAACAAATCCAACACGATAATACATATAGTAAGTTAGGTTTAATGATAAACTACCCGTGTTGTCTTGAGGTTTGAAACACAACACATATAACGTTCCATTAGTGAATAATTGCTCAGTTTTACAGTTTTATTTCTCTTCTATTACCATAAATGCTAAATGTAAAAGTTTATTTCATTCTGTTGTTGCATAATTGTGACAAAAGAAATAATAGTATTGTTACGCCTTCAGTCGTTAGTTAATTTTCCGTAAATTCGTTCCGACGAAACTTTAGCGACACAAGTCCTTTCTTAAATAAAACTGGTTTATTCTTTCTGAATATAACTTTACGATACACTTAATTTCAACAGTCGCTCTATAACGACGCTATGTCTCACGTGGCCAACAATATTTTGTCCGCATACATTCAGTTACTCATTACACTGTTCCCCTTCACGTTGTGAACGTCTTATATATACAAGACTAACACATATCT